GCCAAAGTTTTTTAAAAATTAGCTGGACGCGGTGGCAACTATTCGGGAGGCTGAGGCATAAGGATCGCTGAACCCAGCAGTTCGAGGTTGCAGTGAGCTATGATCATACCACTGCACTCTGGCCCAAGCAACACACTGAGGCCCCATCTTAAATAACTAAATAAATAAATAAATAAATGATAACTTTAGCCAGGCAAAGTGGCATGAGCCTGTAGTCCCAGCTACATGGGAGGCCAAGGTGGGAGGATTGCTTAAGCCCAGGTGTTTGAGACCAGCCTGGGCAACATAGCAAGACCTAGTCTCTTTAAAAAAAAAAAAAATACTATAGCATCAGTTCTGAAAAAAAAATTTTTTTTTTAAAGGGTACCCTGAACATATGTATTTCATTGAAAAAAAAAAGATAATTTTGGCCAGGCGCAGTGGCTCATGCCTGTAATCCTAGCACTTCGTAAGGCCAAGGTTGGAGGATCACTTGAGGCCAGGAGTTCGAGACCAGCCTGAGTAACATAGCAAGACCCCATGTCCCCACAAAAAAACAGAAAAATTAGCTGGGCATGGTGGTGTGTGCCTGTAGCCTCAGCTACTTTGAAGGCTGAGGCAGAAGGATCACTTAAGCCCAGGAGTTTTGAGCTTGCAGTGAGCTATGATGATACCACTGTACTCTACCCCCACAATAGAGTAACCCCTGTCTCAAAAAAAAGAAAGAAAAAAGATAATTTTAAGTTACTTCTGTAAATGTAAAGCCAACATCATTTGCCTTATAAAGAAATGAAAACACGATAATATTAAGTTCTAGCTGGACCTGTTAAAAAATGGGAAATTAGCATGTATTAATATTAAACAAATATAGAAGACATACCGGTACAAAATCAAGATTTTCTGTTGGAAATAAGCAAGATGTAAGCATCTAAAATAAATAACTGAAAAGGATACACTTTCTTAGTATATAATCATAATTTAAATGTTACGTATGCTGTGAATGTTGTATCCCCTAAAATTATTCCCTAAATTGACATCTATCCTGTGCTTTGGGAAATATTGTCCACTGAATTTAGTATAAAATCTTATCACTTAAAATCCTCTATAATTTGACCTACCTCTCTTCAGCCAATTTTTCCCTGAGCTCTATTCACTGTCCTAAATTTACACAACTTTCCTATACTGTTTCCTCTGCCTAGAATGCTTTTCCTTCCTATTGTTCTCTTTTGATAGCCTTTCCATCCTTCATGACCCATCTCACATACTAACTCCAGCAAATATTTACTAAGACTCTCAATCAGCTGAAAATTGGAGAGGATTTTTTAAATATCTTTCTAATTTATCATATCCTCATTTACAGTAGTAGTATTTATGTGCCTGTCGCATACCCCCACCATATAATCATGTAAGGAGACTCTGTCTTGCATTCTGCAGAACCTAACACAATGCTTAGCATTAAGACATACTCAGTAAGTACTCATTGGATATAAATGAAATATTAATAGACAAGTCCATATTCAACTACCATATCTGGAGATAGACTCAAATTCAGTCATTTTTTTTTTTTTTTTGAGACAGAGTCTCACTCTTTTGCCCGGGCTAGAGTGAATGCCGTGGCGTCAGCCTAGCTCACAGCAACCTCGAACTCCTGGGCTCAAGCCATCCTCCTGCCTCAGCCTCCCGAGTAGCTGGGACTACAGGCATGCGCCACCATGCCCGGCTAATTTTTTTTCTATATATTTTTAGTTGTCCAGCTAATTTCTTTCTATTTTTAGTAGAGACAGGGTCTCACCCTCGCTCAGGCTGGTATCGAACTCCTGAGCTCAAACAATCCGCCTGCCTCGGCCTCCCAGAGTGCTAGGATTACAGGCGTGAGCCACCGCGCCCGGCCAAATTCAGTCATTTTTGATAAAGAATATATTACAGTATTCTATTGTGCCTTTTCTCTTTATTCTAGTTTTATTCTCTTCTAGCCCTTCAGATATATGGAAGTAAAAAGATTTGTGACAACAAATTACACTGGTTCACTCAGCCATCTGAACTAGATCACTCAATTTGAAGTAGTTTTTACAATGTTTCCTCCTCAAAAATAAAAAGCACCTTTTCTTATAGCAGGATTTAGAATTTTAAAATGCACATTCGACACATAGGCTTATTTATATGGAAACATTACAGAAATTGCTGACAACAGTGATTACCTCTAGAAAAGAAAATTGAGTAGGAAAGAGATTTACTTTTCACTGCATATACTTTCTACCTTTTGAATTTTGTCCCATGCATATATTTTTCCTATTAAAAAACTAAATTTTTAAAAATTTATATTCAGTACCTAATCTTGGTCTTTTGGCTGGTATTTCATCAGTGTCCACAGTAGAAAACAGAGTGCTGAAAGAAAAGAAGAAGAAAAATATATATATACACACAAAAAACCCATTTCTATAAAAATAAACTTTCTATTCATATGATATACCCCCTTATATCACTTCATCATAAAATGAAATTCAGCTGATATTTTAAAAGAGAATATTATTCTATAGTAGGCTTTTAGTATTTGAAAACTTAGCACCACGGTTTCAACTATTTGAGAGAGACCCAAACTCCTTACTATATAATTTGTAATCACAGATTTGTAATATGGCTAAAGCACAAACTTGAAACTGGCCAGAAGTCACTTAGCTAGTAAGTGAACCTAGTAAGAGCCTAGGACTAACATTTCCTTTTTCTTTCCAGAAATGATTTTTAAAAAAACAACAAAGAAGCAATTTCCTTTTGAAAGATGACCCCCAAAGAAAGCCATCTTTTACTTCAGGTGACAATATAAGCAGCCTTAAAAAACAATTCTTAGGGGGAGGAGGACAGGGGCAAAAACCTACCTAAGGCATACAATGAACATTATTTTGGCAATGGGCACACTTATAGTTGTGACTCAAGCATTACAAAATAGATCCATGTAACCAAAAATATCTGTACTCCCTTAATATTTTGAAATTTAAAAATAAGACAATTCTTAGCCAGAAAAAGGTGTTATTTTTAACTGCATTTTTATCATGGAAACTACAATAAAGTGGTAATAAAGAATTTGGGAATTCAGGAAAGTTTCTAGACCATATGTCAAGAATGTTAAAGGCTCACAGTATACTAATCATCTTTCTGAATCCTTATGATTAATCATATTTAGAAAAAAATGAATGAGATCCCAGGATTCCATTCAGCTCAAAACTTTAAATATCCTAACAAGACCTGCTGGCTTCATTTTGACTGAAAATTAACTTACACTGAGAAGAGTTATTTTAGATTAAGGACGTAGGCATCTAAAGTGTATTAAAGAACAAGGTTTTGATCTCCAAATCATGTTCCCCTGACAGGAATTCACATCAAAAAGAGAGGACAAGGGAGAGGGAATTAACATTCCCTTATTCAAGAAATATACACCAAGTATTTATCATGCACCAGACCCTGCACGGGGGCCCTTGGAGTAGAATAAACAAATACTACCCTTATATATATTAAGTATCAGTTTAGGCTCTTTATAACATGTTCTCAAATGATCCTCACATCAACTCCACAGAAAGTCAGAAAGGGGGAATAAGTTGAACCCATGCGTCTAAGGAATACATGATGCAATTTAGCCAACAACCAATTTTATCAATAACCTGCATTCTCAGACTCAAGTATTAATCATCTTGTTCACTCAAGCTCCTAGAAACCAACCTTTTTTCCACTTTCGTTGATATTGAAGCTTAATAAAAAATGAAATTAACGCTTGATCACCAAAAGTTGGGGGGAATGCATAGAATTTGTATGGTATTTTATTTTCTAGATTAATTCTTAGGCAAGGAGGTAGATACTATGAAATGGGACAAGCCAAGGAGTAAATGCTAAGTAAGAATATCTTTTAGTTTCCCCCAAATTTTAACTGAATTTTTGAGTCCAGCCTAGTGATCTTTTTAAAGGAGTGATGTACCTAATCTTTTTTTCTTATATAGTAATTCTAAAGCACAAAATCACTCCTCCCCCTCTGGCTCCAAACATACATACTGCTTGACAGCTGTTTCAGAACAAGACAGCTGCTGTTTTTTGGTGCTAAGAGAACAGTACTTGCAGTCAAAACGGCTTTGAGCAATCTATGAATCTCACTTCCCTCAACTGCACTTATTGTCCGCAAATGACACTTGATAGTATGCTTTGTAAACAGTGAGGCACAACAAAGACAGTATTCCTTCAATTTTTAGTTTTCAGCCTAAGAGCGGACACAGAGCCCCATTTGTTGTCAGCAACCAGCTTTGGCTCTGACAAGAACATCAAAGATCCCATCATCACCGGCCACCCCAAAGACAACTAGCTCCTTCCTTCATCAGGAGCTGTGTCCCCCACAGCGTGGCGGGAGCGACTGCGTCACCAGGTCACCCGCGACCCGCAACCCTCCGGCCTCAGCCCAAAGACTTTAGACTAAGCAGGGCCTGCCTGGCTAAATAAATCAACGCTATCTCAGCCGGAGAGCCCAGGGTGGGGGAGGGGGTACAGCTAGGCCGGCGCTCAGCCCCCTCTCATCTCACCTGTTCGAGCGCCGCCTCTTCAGGAGGGCCCGGGGAGGGGGCACCGATCGGTCGCAGAAACGGAAAATGGTGCCGAGAATCCTAACCAGCCATCTGTACATACCAGGCCCGAGCAGCAGCGGCGGCCGACACACCCCGAGACGCAAACCCCAGAGCTGTCGCCGCCGCTGCCGCCTTCGCCGCCTCGGCCACCACCGCCAAGGTTCAGTCGCTGACTTGTGACGCGATTCGAGGGCCCACAGATACAACGTCCCCAGGGCTACGAATGGCCCCCGCCCGCCACCGCTCCCGACGTCACCTCCTCCCGCCCGACCGGAAAGCTTCATCCTCAACCTACGCACGCGCAAACTAGCACCTCCTCCTATAGCGACCCTAGCAACAGGAATCCCTGCAGCACGGACCCGGTCCAATCGCTGACGAGATCAGCTGAGCTGTGGGCGGGGTTTTCTCCTTGGCAGATCCAGTCCGGAGTCGGCATGTGAGACAAGGCCCACACGCCACACGTGACACGGCTCCACTTGGGAGGGAGCGTCCGGAGGTCCAGAGCACAGTTGGTGGTCAGTGTTTGTTGAGTGCACGAGGTAGGCCAGGTTAATTAACACATGCTTACCGTTTTAGGCGCCTTCATTTTGCACATACCTTGTACCCCTAATTTATAGGCTTTGGTGACCTTAATGTCTTCCAGTAACCAAATGCAATAAGGAGTCTTACGCCAATTTTATAAATCAAGGAAATCGAGGCATACAGTCATTAAGTAATTTGCCTAAGATCACAAAGCTAGCTAGTGGCAAAGTTGGAATTTGACTCGGGGTCTGAGTACCAGCGCCAGTACCTCGCCCTTGAAGTCAGTCTACTAGGGGAGACATGTACATAGATAATTATAGATTACAAACAGGGTAAGTGGTTACTATGATAAAGGTGTGTGCAAAGTAGAATGCAAACCAGAGAAAGGAAAACCACACGCTGGAGGAGGGCAGGGAAGGGAAGAGGAGAACTCCACAAGGAAGGCTTCCTAGAAATTTAAGTATGAAAATATACCTGCAGCCTACTAATACACTTGTTTCCTCTCTTGGGCTGGCAGGGAGTGATGCTCATTACCCTCCCTCTATATTATAGAGGTCACAGCTCTAGTTAATTATCAACTATAGAAACTATAGAACAAGTCCCACCCAGTTTAGTGATAGAAAACCCAGTCCCCTTTCCCAGACAATCCTGGAAAGCTTAAAAGGTTTTCATGCCCCACAAATCCATTCCTGACTGCACTCGTTCCTCACCAGTGATTCAGTTAAGGCCAGACTTTCTGACTTGCTTGAACTTCAACCCGGACACTCCCCAGTACAGCCTCCTCCTTTGCTCAATAGATGGCATTCCGGAATTCTGCTGCAAACCACCCTCTAGCGCTTCAATACCACCAGCCACCCACCAGTGGCTGCCCACCCCACTTGGAGGGTGGGGGTCAGATCCTAGTGGGTGGAAGGAAATCTTAAGTGAGTACACAATCCCCTCCCTAATTGTCCAAAGAATACCTGTTACTGAAAGTTTGGAGTAACAGAAGAATTACAAAGCTGAGAAGTCTTAGAAGTGGCTATTACACATGCAGCATCTATGGCCCTTGCCCATTGTCTCCCAAAGGGACTCCCTTCCACCCAAGGCCATATCTTCACTCTTCTCAACACCTTTGATAATGCTACCAACAAAAGAGACTTTCCCCTCCACCTCTACCCAGACACATTTCAGGCTGGACTCCCAGTGAATGTAATTAGAGTAGGGATCCCTATTCAAAGAAGACAACCACTGGCATTATTATGCAGAGCAGTTCAGTTATGTCTTAACTTTCCATTCCACTACAAGAGTTGGGCTTTGCTTTTGGCAAACCAAGAAGCCCACTCAAGCACTGAGAGATTCTCCAAAACAAAAGTGCAGTCTTCATTGAAACATACATCAGAAAACTACAAGCTGCTTTTGAATAGTAACCTATTCCAGGTCTGGCCACTGAGATTTAAGAAATACTGAGGTCAAGTCTCATAGCATTCCAGTGCAATACCACATTTATTTTTTTTCTTTTTCTGCTTCACAAATAGCACCCACACAAACTCAAAACTGAAATCCACCATGAAAAGTGGGAAGGCTTTGGAATTACAGACCTCAGTCCGAATCCTAGGGCCCCATCAGCAAAGAGTAACTTGTGAGTGTGACAATTCCCAGCCTCCTGCCCACACACTCTCCCTCCCCGTCCCCTAGATACCCTCAGGAATGAAGAAAAGGAGACACAGCCTCCTAGTTGCTCCCACCTGGGACTTGGCTGCTGGTCGGTGCCTTCGCTGTCCTGTAGTCCACAGTAGAGGCATGGGCTACTGCCCATCCACTGGCCAAGGAGTGGAATTATCCTTAACCCCAACCCCAACACTGCCGCAGCCATTTTTGGACCCAGGAGCTCTTCACTGGAGGGCCTCGGGAGAATGCCAAGACCATATGGAGTAACAAGGATGCTGATATTTCTGCCCTTGGCTTGGAGGATAATTTGCAAGCTTTTCCTGCAGGAGGGGCACAACCTCATTGTTTAAGCTTTTGCAGGGTATCCCAAACAGGTGCCCCAGTTTTCTAAAAAGAGCCAGCTGAGATCCTCTCCTTTAAACCTTTCCAGGGCCCTACCCCCATCTTCCTCAAAACCTACCTCCTTCCCACAAAACAAAGAAGACCCAGACCTCGAATCCATTCTTTTGTCTTGCAAATTTTCTCTTTAAAAGCATTCAGAGAATGTTAAAAGATTTCTTCTCACTTTTTTTTCCTGACCTCTGTCTGAGCAGAATTCTGTACTGTTTCCTGGAAGGGGTAGGGGCCCATAGATGAGATTTTGTTGGATTCGGCCTAATGTGCCTAAAATCCAACATAATTGACCACCATGAATATTAATTTCCTTCTGAGTACCAACTCTTCTGGTACCTAAGAAAAAAAGTGTCCTTCTAATACTGAGACTTTGATCTTATTCAATCTGTACAATAATAACTTGGCCTTATTATGCCCAAAGCAAGTATACGCCTTTCTTGTCCTGGATTTCATTACAAAGCTTGCCCACACTGACTGCAAATGGCTTGGCCTGCCTCCTGTGGAGAAATAGGAAGAGGCCCTACCTAAGTGTGTTTCCCAGTCTATAAAATGGGGTTAATAAAACCTGCTTCTCGGCCGGGCACGGTGGGTCATGCCTGTAATCCTAGCTCTCTGGGACACCGAGGCGGGCGGATGGCTTGAGCTCAGGAGTTCGAGACCAGCCTGAGCAAGAGCGAGACCCCGTCTCTACTAAAAATAGAAAGAAATTAATCAGACAACTAAAAATATATAGAAAAAATTAGCCGGGCATGGTGGCGCATGCCTGTAGTCCCAGCTACTCGGGAGGCGGAGACAGGATTGCTCGAGCCCAGGAGTTTGAGGTTGCTGTGAGCTAGGCTGATGCCACGGCACTCTAGCCCAGGCAAAAGAGTGAGACTCTGTCTCAAAAAAAAATAAATAAATAAAATAAAACCTGCTTCTCAGATCTGTGGACAGATTAATTGTGTTTATGTATGTGAAGGGTCTATTCTTTGCCCATCACAGCTAAGTGCTCAATGTTTCTCTTCCCTCTCCTTCCTTCTCCTATCTAATCAGTCCTTGAACTTGCCGTGTCTAAATGCTACATTTTTCACAGATCTGCGCCTTCCCCTCTCCAAACCTATCAGAACTACTGTCCTTTAGGGTTTGACCTTTTCTCACACCATTGCCAAAGCCACCTCCCCTTCTACCCTTTCTCTCTTCTATGCTGTTTGCAGAATGATCTCTCTTTTGTTGTCTTTGTCTGGTGCTGTCTTTTATTGTTAAGCAAAGTAAATTTATATTATTGTTCTTAATTATTAATAAAGGTAAATTTATAAATTAAGTCTGTCTTTTTCTTTTACTGAATCACTAAAAATAGTTGGATTGATTGTCACCAAACTTGGGATGTTTGTTTAGGGTGGTTTAACATAAAATTAACTTTAGCTGGCCCTAGGGAGAGCCTTGGAAAGAGAGACAGGTATGTATCCCTGGGAACAGCTGAAACTTAGGAACAGCCAGAAGAGAGGGATGCCACCAAGTGAGAAATGCCCTACTGAGTGAGACAGCCACGAACCCCTCAGATGGTTCATGATGGTTCCAAGTCAGAAGTTACAAGGATCGACCTTCCAAATTACAGGATTTTTCCACAGAGTTGCTTCTCACACCGACTACAACTCCGTATGCATGCTTCAAGGAATAATTGTCTAAAGAAGGATCCCATTACCAATGCTTGGGAAACCAGTTAACTAAAAATAAAAACAGAAATCTGGCTCTAAGAAAAATATTTTAAAATAACAGTTTAAGATCCAAGTAAATCTAAAATATATAGCACCAACAGACAATTATTGAAATATTGGCTATTCCTACCAAATTTTTGTTTCTTCTTTTTTTTTGTAATAGAACTTTTAGAAAGAAAAAGTATTTTGCTTCTGTCTCGCCAGTGTGCATACTGGCCTTGTTAGGGCCGTCTCTTGTTGAAATGTTCTGTGCAGTACTCTGAAAACCAGCAGTTATTGGAAAAAACTGGACTTGCGTTTTGTTTGATACATTGTTTGTAAGGAAGTCAAAGTATCTACAACAAATTAGCTCTATGCCATGAAAAAGATTTCTTAACCCAGAAAAGCAGTATGCAGATGTTTTTTCTTCTTGTTCTGTAATAAACTATAAAAAACATTTTTATTTACATAATATGAATAAGTTAACATACAGAGATATTATCTTTATATTATATAGTCTAGTATATATTATGTATTATTATAGCATATTGATTTGTATTATTTTATAATACCATACTAACTTTTAAATAAGTTAATGTGAAAAAGGTCAGGTTCCCACTACCTTAAAGATAAAATCCCGTATCCTAAGCATGGCATACAAAGTTCTTAACAGCCTGTCTTCAAATTACTTTATCATTTCCCTAATCACACATACCCAACTCTGAAGCCACACTTCTTTCATGGCTCCAAGTCTTTTCTCACTGCCTGGAATACCCTTCCCCACCTTCTTCACTCACAAACTCCTACCTAGTCTTTGGAACTCAGATCAAAGGGTACCTACTCTGTAAAGCTTTTCCAATGGCTCCATCTTCTGGGATTCCCAACTTGTCCTTGCTTCCCCACTCTTCTCCCATAGAATTTGTATCCATGT